TTTATTTGATGAAGGAATTTATTGATTTTATTTTGCTGCGAATCAAATTACTCGAAATTATTTGTAAGCACAGCACCGGAACCTGGACTCGAAATCAAGAAAACCGCATTGGAAAACCTTGACACTACCAACCACGCTACGCCAACACTTTGAACTTTCGTAAACAAATCTACATGACCTTCTACAACAAGATCGCTGAGTAGAGTGTATAATAGTGCATATAAATCACTTTTCTCGACTAGTTAGTTCAGTTTGTAAAGGAGCGGAGTAAATGCTGTCAAATTGCACAAGCCTAGATTAGGTTTTTAAAATGCTTTCAGTTACGCTAACACAGTTTATGCTGAGTACAGGTTGTTTAGTTGTTGAAACAGCAGGTTTGTTGTGTAGAACCCATCAAATGAGTAATATATCGATTTTATTAGCTTTGTTTTGCAGCTTCAAGTTGTAAGTTGATGAATAGTTGCATAGAAGTGACATTAGCGACAAATTGAATAATTATTGTGAAAAAGTTGAACAAACGCTCTCGAAAAATATATTGCTAGTTTTTACTTGCAGTTGTATCTGCAGCTTTTTTCAACTTCTTTACAGCACAATGCTAGAAAAGATGGCTTATAAAGCTGAAAATGTTAATTAGACTTTTTGCAGGCAATCGGTGGTCATTTGCATCACCATTGTAATAGTTGGACATTTGTGTAATTTTCAATAGTGACCTATTTAAAATTGATAAACTGTTCATTTTAACAGATTCGTGGAGAATTTTTCAATCGATTGGCTTGTTTAGAATTAAAATCCATCCGCTAATGGCAAAGTTATAAGTGGTCAAAACCTCACCACTTGTCGTAACGCGGTCGATTTTGTTTTTTTTTTAAATTGCACCCCCAATATGTTGCCAAAAGATGTAATCCTACGTCAAAAGTACCCAGCAGCCAGTTTGTCTCCTTTTATCCTTCTAATGTTTTCAAAAACAGAGGAGCAAAACCACCAAACAGGGGTAGTGGAAACCCAACTTTGAGTATAATCATACTTTTGAGAATAACTTACTTACTTCTGGGTAAAAAGCGAGTCGAAAGTTCCGTACGGATTGCACACAAGTAAATGAAAACTACTTTGACCCACTTAACTTACTTTTGGCTTCCTGTACTATAGGGTCGAGATAAGTAAAAATAACTTACTTTTGGGTTCTCTAATCGTACTGTATAGGTTATTTTGAAGGATTTACTGTGGTAAGTGATCTATTGGAATAGAGGCATAGTGACAAATGTGAGGAAAGAGACGGAGCAGGGATTGAACTTCCGACCTTATTCTCAGTAAGTAGAAACGGTAACTACCCGAGCAAAGTCGGTTAACAAAATGAAAGCAAATCGATATTAAAGTTTGCAGTTCCTATCATAATGAAAACTCATTTTGATTTCAAATGTTGCGACATAAGTCTGATATCATATTGTGCTTTCATTATGCAGTCAAGACGTTTTAAATGAAAGCAACTTAACTTGAAGTTCTGCTGTTTACGTCTTGTTTAAAATTTAATTGAAATTCATCTGTCGTTGAACTAATGATTATCGTTTATCTGATTTGTTTAACACATTTTAGGTCATTCGTGACTTGCCCGCGGTGAGATTGGAGCCTAAGTCTTTCAGCTTGAGAAACATAAATGGTAACCATTTACTCTAGGCCCGTATTCAGTTAAACAATATGAATGCAAAATCAGTAATCAAAATGATTTCATTGAAAGCAGGATTAGTTTTCCGTTTGCTTAAACAGTGTAAAATTTTGCTCTCATTTTTGCTGTGTTAACCGTTAAGTCAACCAAAATGAGATCAACTTGAGTATTCAAAATAAGTTACATCATAACAGCAAATTTTGATTTCAATTTGATGTTCAGCTTTGCTCGGGTACTGAGCTACTGAGCCTTGTCTTCTTCCAAGTACAACTTCACTGATTCATTTTTAAATTAGTACCGATGCTGGCCACGTCCCACGGTCTTTGGGAAGGGAAGAATGATTGGTTTGACAATCGTTTTTACTAAAGACCTACTAGGTATGCCTCTGCATCTCCGCATTTCTTATGAGAAAAATAGTTATGTTATTCGGTAAGCGATACAATTGAAAAGCAGACTGTTTTGTTTTGAAAATTTAATGGGTCATGTAAATTTAGGTGCTCCGAGACTGTCTGGCGTAGTAGGCAATCAGCCGTCTCTTTCCCATGTTACGTTGTTGGGAAGCCCTCCCTGGCAACGACCCGTTACCTGTTTGTGAAAATTAATAACTGTTCATTCCACAATCGCACTTCGTGTAGTACAGACGCTTAAATAAACTTTTCTCCGTTTTTCCTGTTAAACCGTATATTAGGGTGTTTCATTTTGAAAAAAGTGATGAATTTTTGATAGGCCACCCTCCAGTTCGATTCATAGCCCCAAAATATGAACCTGTGCAAAAAATGGTAAAGATTGATGAAGGTTTAGAGGTCGCGCCAATGATTTGGATTTTGTATGGAGATTTTGGTGAATTAGTATGGGAAATTATTGATTTTCGTTTACATTGCTCTAACTTTGGTTGTAGTTGTCCAAACGTTGAAAAAAAAAATATGTGGTTGTCATGACAATGATCAACAAGCCTGTTGTTGTTGCGATGAAATTGACGTTGTTGCCTTGTACATATTCATCTGTCAATTTACCCTATTTTGCCATTTTTTCACATTTTTATAATTCTTGATACGCTGCAAAACTGAGCGTAGCAACTGTAGGCTTTTTGTTTATTGCCATAGCAATAACATACTAAATTTTTTCGACATTTGGACAAGTAGAAGCAAAGTTATAGCGATATAAGCGATTTTTTAAATTCTTCCATAGTAATTCCCATACAAATTTCAAATCATTGGCGCGACCTCTAAACCTTCATCAATCTTTACCAATTTTTGCACAGGTTCATATTTTGGGGCTATGAATCGAACTGGAGGGTGGCCCATCAGAAATTCATCACTTTTTTCAGAATGAAGCACCCTACCGTATATGTACTTCGTTTGGAGTCTCCCGTTTGTCCCTTCAAGAGGTTATGGGCACCACCGCGAAGGACGTTTCGTGCAACATCCCGTTACTGCGTGGAAGCGGAGCTGACTTCCAAAACTGGAGTTATCGAGTGCGCCTGTTCCTGGAAGCCAAAGGCGTCGCGGATGTGCTGCTGAGGTGGCTCCAACGGAACAAGCTGCAAAGAAGAAGTTTGAAGAAACGGACCGGATCTCCAAGGCGTTGCTGGTGGGTTGCCTGTCGGACGAATGCCTCGAGATCGTTCGAGAGAAGGCGACCACGAAGGAGATGTGGGTCAGTCTGGAGGCGGCTTACGCTAAGAAGTCTGTCGCGAGCCAAACGTTAGTACGGAAGCAGTTGGCTCGTTTGCGGATAAAGGAAGGGGACATGCGGACGCATCTACTTGAATTCGACGGGCTCGTGAGAAAATTGAAGACGGCCGGAGCAACTCTGGCGGAAAGTGATCTGGTGTCGCAGTTTTTCTTGTCGCTTCCAGACTCTTTCGATCCCCTAGTCACGGCCCTGGAGAACGTCGCGGAAGAAAACCTGAATTTGGACCCCGTCAAGCAGCGTCTATTGGCTGAAGAAAGTAAGCGATCCGACCGGCAGGGCGATTCAGTTGAAGACAAGTCTGCAGCGTTCTCGGGTGACTCAAGATCCCAAAAGAAGTCCCAGAAATTCCTCGGTAAGTGCCACAAATGCGGGCGTCGCGGCCACATGAAAAAGGATTGTCGCCAGCGTGAAGCCAATTCAGCGAAGAAGGATGCCATCAGTTTCATGGCCGATGCAAACATTGCGGAAAAGCGGCCTGGACGAATCGTTTTCAAGCTTGATTCCGGGTGCAGTGACCACCAGGTTGGCGACAAGTTCGTTTTTGCTGCCCTGAAGAAGATGACCAGTCGCGTGGAGATCAAGGTCGCCAAGGAAGGAGAAGCTATGCTTGTTGAACAGATTGGAGAAATCAACGTGACCAGCAACAAAGGTGTACATTTCAATCTGAAGAATGTGCTCTACGTTCCAGAACTACGTGAAAACCTGATATCCGTCAGGAAGATGGCCAATGCTGAGATCGATGTCTTGTTCTCTGGAAACGTAGCAGTTGTGAAGAAAAGTGGTAAGTTACTGGCCACTGGACACCTTCGAGGTAGCATGTACGAGCTTGAGCTGTCGTCGGAGGAAGTTGAAGCGAATCGCTGCGAAGTATCGATTGGAAACCTGTGGCATCGTCAACTGGGGAATAATGGCCAACGCGGATTGAAGACCATGGCCCGGAAAGGAATACTGAAAGGTATGAATGAAAAAACAACCAAAATTGATTTCTGCGACGCCTGCGTGCAAGCCAAGCAATGCCGAGAACCGTTCAACGGAACGCGAGCTAGGGCCAGCCGGCCGCTGGAGCGGATTCATTCTGATGTTTGCGGACCGATCGATCCGCCGGCATGGGATGGTTCTCGTTACATAGTCAGTTTCATCGATGACCATACTCATTTCACAATGATATATTTGCTGAAGCGCAAATCAGAGGTATTCGAGAAATTTCAGGAATTCGAAGCAAAGGTTACGGCTATGCTGGGAAAGTCCATTTCAAGAATGACGGTGTACCAGGGACGAGAGTACTGTTCCACAAATCAGATGCAGTTCTAAAAGAGAAAAGGGATACAGCTAGAGACAACGGTTGCGTACACGCCCCAGCAGAATGGTGTAGCGGAGAGGTTCAACCGAACCTTGGTTGAAAAAGTCCGTTCCGTGCTCATCCAATCCAATGTGCCGAAGCAGCTGTGGTCCGAAGCAGCCCTCGCCTGCGTTTACTTGATGAACCGAAGCCCAACAAGTGCGTTGCCCTCTGGTGTTACCCCGGCTGAGATGTGGTTCGCTATCAGACCGGATCTGGACAAACTTCGTGTGTTTGGCTGCAAGAGTTTCGTGTGGATTCCGAAGCAGCAAAGGCGTAAGTTGGATGCGAAGAGCAAGGAGATGCTCATGGTTGGGTACGCTCCGAACGGCTACCGCGATGGATCGAAAGCTTACGATTGCTCGAGACGTCAAGTTTGATGAGTCGTCCTTCCCGTACGCTGTGATGCAGCAAGAAGACGATTTCCCATTGACCGTTCACTTCCCGTTCGAGCAAGAGGGGGAACGTTGCCAGCCGTCGCTTTCCCATGTTACGTTGTTGGGAAGCCCTCCCTTGCAACGACCCGTTACCTTTTTGTGAAAATCAATAACTGTTCATTCCACAATCGCACTTCGTGTAGTACAGACGCTTAAATAAACTTTTCTCCGTTTTTCCTGTTAAACCTTATACTTCGTTTGGAGTCTCCCTCCCGTTTGTACAAGCGTCAATTTTGACATAAAATTGAGTTATAACAGACGCGAAATTCAACACAATCAAACGTACTTTTCGTCGAGTAACGAACTTTTCAGTCTAAATTTTACATGAAATATTTGTTTACGTCTGATCCTTTATGTCAAAGATGGATTCTGCCACGTGTAAAATTTCGCGAGATTTTCAGCCTTAGAATGGTTCATCTCTGAAAATCTAATGGGGAAAAAGTTAAGCGTAGTGAAAAATGTAAGGAAGGGGCGAGCCTGGACTTGAGCGTACGACCTTCTGTTCGGTAAGCAGAAACCGGTAACCACTTAGTAATCGAGCCATGCTTCGAAAGTAGATTAAATCAAGTCAAAAATTATTCGTGAATCAGTAACAAGCATTCGAACAATGACACGTTCTCTGTGTAGTAGATTTCTTGATATCTATGAACGCTATCAACCAATGGCAAACGATTACACTTACCGATCGGAGTACTGAAGCGCCTGATGACATACACATACCGCAGATTGGGATCCAGCTTGTCTTCCGGTATGAATCCGAAGCAAACGTGCACAATTGGCGTCTTTATTGAGGTTGAAACGATTTTCTGTTGGGAAAGAAGATTACCAGAAGGGTTTCAGCAGAAAGTGAAAAAAATGGAAACCAACAAAAGTAACAGCACTTACAGTAACTTCAACGAGCTCATTATCGCCGGAAGCCCCGGCTCCCATGGCAGTCTCCGGACCATGGTCGGCATCTAATTAGAGAAATGGGCGGGGGTGAGGGAGTGAAACAGAAAGAGAACCATCATGGTTTTGAACAAGGATATGCAACAACTGTTTTGCTCCTGCTGGCTAACTGCGCGAAGGTCCTTACAACAACACAATACTTGTGAAACAGAAAAAGAATCTGTAATGCGCTACAATTGAAGCGGGCAAGCAAGGAAAATTGTACAAAGAACGTGCTAATTACTGGTGAGACTACGCTACCGTTTTTTGTTTTAGATTTTTCTTGTTGCCTACTTTTATTTAATATGATTACACGCCGTTTCTTTGAAGGTAGGTATTAATGGTTTCGCCTTTTAACTATAACTGTTTGAAAAGTTGTTTTGCATTTGCCAATCAGTTGTTTGCGCAATTTCTTTCAACATAAAAAAAAAAAACATTTCTCACCTCCTTTCTTCGTTCTCTTTGGTTTGGTCTTCTTCTTTCCTGTGAACGAAAATAAAAAAAACAAGCATCAGAATAGTTTTTATTTAATTTGAAGAGAATCAGTGCGTCATCAAAGGCTCTTTCTACAATGGTGTTAAAAATATCCCATTAAATCCGAACAACGAAAAATCTTACCAGCATCATCCGCATCCTCGGCAAGGCCTAGCAAATATGCAGATTACAGAGAAAAATAGGGAGGGAGAGAGACAAGAAAAAAAAAATCATGTTAAACAGCATTCCCTTTGGTAAATAAACGCCAGATTTACTCAACCAGCAGCGTGACACCCAGAACCAAAATCGCACTCGCCTAACTCTCACACTCAATGACACAATGCAGCAATTCGCGGGAAAATTTAAATTTCAAATTTGAACCACTCCAACAGAAAAGCCATTCTTCCGTTCGCTGCTCTGCTCGGTCCACACGTCGTCGTCGTCGTCGTCCTTCGGGCAAAAGTGAGTCGAGCTATTGTTTCTGGTGTCGCATTTCTGGTTTTCTTGTCAGTGTGGATTCACACCCCGTTTCCAAGAATCGCAGGAGGAAAAAAAATGCCACTTCATCATGCAAGTGGAGAACCTTCGAAATATGATAAAAAGTGTGTTTCCTTCCACGCTCAGCTAGCTAGCTGCTGCAGCATCGCGTCCGTCCTGGCGCTGGCAGTGCATTCGCCGTGTCCGCTCTCACTCACGTCCTCCTATATGGAGACGCGGCCAGGGGGCGAGTTAGGGCGGGCGACCGGTTGGTGGTCGGAGGTTGCGAAAACTGTAAATAAATCAAATTAACTTACCAGAACGTGTTGCCTCGAGGGTATCTCCAGTGGCATCCTGATCCGTTTTCCCATCCGGTGGTGGTTCATCCTCTTTTGCATCTTTGCCTTTTTTGGCTGCTGCTTCGACATTCGGTTTCGGGAGGAGGTCCGGGAGTTGTACGTGTCCCCGTGTGTGTGTATTTGTTGTTGTTGTTGTTGTTGTTGTGTGTGATAGTGGATTAGTGTGAAAGAATAACAATGAGTGAAAGGAAGTTGAGCGTTGAGTTGATAATGGATTGCATGAAATCATTATGGTAGTTTTTATAGGAAAATTAGTGCAAACAGATAACAACTACCTGATGGTGGTCTACGTTTGGTTTATCCGTAACGATAATGAGAATTATCGTTCACTTTGAAACTTATTCAATGATTAAGAAATAAAATTTTGAATAATTGTAATAGCGTACACGCTATTTCAAAACTACCCAAATTTGGGTACAATCCACCCAGATCGGTCAAAACTGAACCTACCCAAAAATGGGTAAACTGTGTTGGGAGTGACAAGTTGACAAATGAACAACATCGACATGAATCCGATCGACGTTGTTCATTTGTCATCTTGTCACTCCCAACACAGTTGACCCATTTTTGGGTAGGTTCAGTTTTGACCGATCTGGGTGGATTGTACCCAAATTTGGGTAGTTTTGAAATAGCGTGTAGAGGACTACACTGATCCAAAACATCCGCAATACTTCGAATGATTTTTGCATTGCTCGAGCCCTTTAACAATATGCATTCGAATTTCGGATGATTTTCTTATGGTTGAATTCGTCGTCAGATGATGAACATCCATATGACTGTCATCCAAATACAGGATGATTGAATAACCATTCCATTAAGGATAGAAAATTTTTCCGTGGTGGAGGAAACCTCCTCCACCACGAATTAGCCAAACATTGGTTTTCATCCTTTACCTATGTTCGTAACAGCTCTGATAGCGATGCATATACTTCCACCTCGTTGTCAGCTCAGATCGGCAAATGACATTCGATAGAATTATTTACATCATCGTTTTGAATGATTTGCGTTAAGGGACTGAACCAATACCAAATGCATTTCAATTTAAGATGACTATCATTCTGCAGAGAGCATTAGGCATTCCAACTGAAGGCTCTATTCTTTTTCATAACAATATTCATCCTGTATTCGAGAGGAAAATCATCTGATTTCAAAACAACCGTCGTTCGGTTGCAGCTTTCGTTCGAAAATGCGATTTCGATGTTTCGATTTGAATGGTCTGAGGTTTCATTCGATCAGAGGATGATGTTTGTGTACAGTGTACTTCGGCCTAATAGCACCGACGAAACGACTTACACTGAACGAAAACATCCGCAATACTTCGACTGATTATTGTATTGCTCGAGCCCTTTAACAATATGCTGTCGAATTTCGGATGATTTCCTTATGGTTGAATTCGTCATCAACTGATGAGCATCCATATGACTGTCCTCCAAATAAAGGATAATATTTATTTGAAAATTGGCTGTAAAACATACTGGGCTCAGAGGGCAACAATTTAAGGATAAGATGACTTGCAAATGCTTTAGATTAGATTATTAATTTGATTGTGAATAGCCTGTAGTGTTGGTAGAGGAAACTTCCTCCACCACGAAATAGACAATTAACGGTTTCCACGCTTTACCAATGTTCGTAACACCTCTGATAGTGATGGCTATGCTTCCACCTCGTTTGTCTACACTGGACACAAACATCATCCTCTGATCGAATGAAACCTCAGACCATTCAAAACAAAACACCGAAATCGCTTTTTCGAATGATACCTGTAACCGGATGACGGTTGTTTTGAAATCAGATGATTTTCTTATCAGATGATTTGATACTCAGAGCAGCAAATGACCTTCGACGGAATTATTTACATCGTTTTGAATGATTTGCGTTAAGGGGCTGAACCAATACCAAATGCATTTCAATTTAACATGACTATCATTTTGCAGAGAGCATTAGGCGTTCCAACTGAAGGCCCTATCCTTTTTCATAACATCCTGTATTCGAGAGGAAAATCATCTGATTTCAAAACAACCGTCATCCGGTTGCAGCTATCCTTCGAAAATGCGATTTCGATGTTTCGATTTGAATGGTCTGAGGTTTCATTCGAACAGAGGACGGTGGTTTGTTACAGTGTGACAGCTCATACAAGCTACTTTTGCTGTCGGTTTGTTTACCAACAATAGCTGACGTTTTGTTTTAACCTAACTTTTTTCCTAACCTGAACTTCAGAGCTAGGATTAATATCATTGTTGATGTTGATCAAAATGGAATCAGTTTTATCACTTAATTGTTGGGGGTCCAACTAGAAATCATGCAAGGCGGACCCAGGTACGATCCTTGTGTAGCGAGGACCGAATGGACCAGATCCCGCCAGTCAGATGATTGTCCGCAGGAAGATTGTTCAAAGGAGGATTGTCCGCATGAGGATTGTTTGAAGGAGAATTGTCTGCTACCGACGAGTCAAGGAGTACGTGGAGGAAGAAAATTATCCGGAACTCTGAAGCTCTTTATATGTTCCAGGGGGAACGATACATTCGGATGCATCCTGTATCCCCATCAAATTTATCCATAAAATTCTGCTTATATATCCAGAACATCAGTCAGAACTTTTTTTCTCCAGACATGCTTATTCGATTTTTTGTCTATTTTTCAGTATGTCCTGAATATCCCTGTTGATCCTTCTGTCTATTCCGAAAATTCTTTCAATTCCGCTCGCATGCCGTCACAGTGTTGCCATATCTTTTTTGAAGCAACATGCATCAGGATGAGTGTCGTTCCCCAACGTTTTCCTTGAACGTCATTGATTGTCTCTGAAGATCTTTCCTGGAACTATCTTCCTGCGGACAATCGTCCAGTGGACAATCTTCTTCTGATCAATCTTCCTGCGGACTAGTGTTGGAAAAGTTCGCGATATTTCACGAATTTCACCAAGGGAAAAGTTCGCGAGTCATAGGGAACATTGATGAACTTTTCCATCACTGCTGCGGACAATTCTCTTCCTCCAGATAATCTTCGTGCGGACAATCCTCTTTCGAACAATCCTTCTGCGGACAACCCTCTTTCGAACAATCTTCCTGTGGACAATCCTCCTACGGACAATCCTCTTCCGAACTATCTTCCTGCGGACAATCGTCCTGTGGACAATCTTCTTCTGAACAATCTTCCTGCGGACAATCCTCCTTCGAACAATCCTCCTGCGGACAATCCTCCTCCAAACAATCTTCCTGTCGACAATCTTCCTGCGGACAATCCTTCTTCGACAATCCTCTTTCGAACAATCCTCCCGCGGGCAATCCTCTTCCTCCGGATAATCTTTCTCCTCGACTCGTCGGTAGTGGACAATATTCCTGCGGACAATCCTGTTGATAATCCTCCTTCGAACAATCCTCCTCCGAACAATCTTCCTGCGGACAATTCTCCTTCGTACAATCTTCTCCCGAACAATCTTCTTGCGGACAATCCTCCTCCGAACAATCCTTCGAACAACCTTCTCCCGAGCAAACTTCCTGTGGACAATCCTCCTTTGAACAATCTTCCTGCGGACAATCCTTATTCGAACAATCTTCCTGGGTACAATCGTTCTTCGAACAATCCTCCTGCGGACAATCCTCCTGGGGACAATCCAAATATATGATGTTCAAGGGCCCTGGAGCTAATGAACTATTAGATTAGATAATTAACTATTTTAACTAGTTCCGCTTTTTTTTTTGTTAGCATCCATGCCTCTCACGCCAAAGTCACGAGTTCAAATCTCAAAATGGTGAAACAAAAAGAAACGTGCTAAGGGATATGACACACCTCAATCTGACTGCCACGGCAGCGGGTACCGCGCTTTTTTTTTTGCTGGCGCTTTTGCTGGCAGTTGTGCTGTCTGTGTAACTTTTGACACCTGTTCTGGTACAAATTGCTGTCTATTGCTCTAGTACCGGTTGCACCAGGTACACAAAAAAAAAAACACAGCCAGGTGACCCGCATAAACGCGAACCATAAATTGACCTTACCTAAAATGGTTAAAAATTGTTTATAATCCCTGCTAAACTTTAACTGAAATGGTTATGGAACTTTACATGAACGTTTAATGATAAAGTTTCAACCTTATGTATTATGGTTTTTTGGAACTGGACCTTACAAATAATGGGTTGTTAAGAACCATTACCATTCCAAATTCTTGTTTTCTCCATACATTTTCAGAAAGAGAACTATATAAGAACGTTTTTACTTATGATTTGAGAACATTAATGGTAATGGTTATGGTAGTCAGTAAGGTCCATTAATGGTTTTGTATTATCGCTCAACTTTACGTGGAATATATCGTGAATTGGTAATCAGTAAATTACAGGCAACCAATTCGCGATATATTCCACATAAAGTTGATCGATGTTATAAAACCATTCGTGGACCTTACTGACTACCATAACCATTACCATTAAAGTTCTCAAACCATAAGTTAAAAGGTTCTAATATAGTTCTCTTTCCGAAAATGTATGGAGAAAACAAGAATTTGGAACGGTAATGGTTCTTAACAACCCATTATTTGTAAGGTCCAGTTCCAAAAAACCATAATACATAAGGTTGAAACTTTATCATTAAACGTTCATGTAAAGTTCCATAACCATTTCAGTTAAAGTTTAGCAGGAATTATAAACAATTTTTAACCTTTTTAGGTAAGGTCAATTTATGGTTCGCGTTTATGCGGGGAACCAAAAAAAAATCGCGTGAAGGAGGTCCTTACCCTTTGGGTCCATGGTACCAGAGCTGAGCCAATAAGTTGAGCACGTTTCTTCGGGACCTACTAGTCTTAGAGTTACCTCTATGGTTATACCATAAAGGTAACTTTGAGACTAGTAGGTCCCGAAGAAACGAGCTCTAGTTTTTGGCTCAGCTTTGGTACTCTCTTCGGTCCCAAGCTAATCAATTCACCCCTCGAAACATAGAAAATTCATAGAACAAATATAGATGTAATGTCGGCCTAAATGCCCCTAATTTGGGCCCATACATAAATTCAGCAAGCGACTAAATTTTCAATAGCGACCAAAAATATCCATTAGTACCGTCCCAATGACGCGTTCATCTAGATAAAATTAATTAATAGTAGATTTTTAGCGATGGGCCCAACCTTAGATCCATAGGCCAACATAAGAGCCATTTCCCCTATATGAAACAAAAGTTTGGTGTTCCAAATGAGCTAAATTTTGGAAAGAAAATCAGGTCCTGATTTTGAACTGGTAGACAACTGTGCTGCTGTGTGACAGCAAAGTGACGTATACGCCACTATGGCGATTATTTTATTCGGGCTAGTGTTACAAAACCCCATATTCACCTATAACAATGAGTTATTGGTAGTTGCCGTGATTCCGATCAAACTTACGTCAGTTAAATCATACCAGTTTCTAAAGCAAATGTCACATGTGGTAACATCATTCGATCTCATCTCAGTAGATCCTTATAAATTACGTAAAAAGAATTGGTTTTTGGTTTAGAAGCCAGCTTCTTCACATTCCCGTTTTCTGCATACCTATGAGCTACCAGCATGTCTCAGAAGGCAAAGTAATATGGGAAAATCCTGCGAAAAATATGGAAATCCTCAGGAACGAAGAAAGATTTATGTCCTCAGAAAAACGACGACGACGACCAGCCGAGCGCGTTGAAAGAACGGAGGACGTGCAAAACTTTTGATTCATGCCAGGGGTTTACCGCCGCGTGCTGGCTGCACTAAGCTGCACCACCAAGAACAGCTTCTTTCTACTTTGAATTGAAGTGGAAACTTCCAGAACAACTTGAAATTGATATTCTTGTGGGAAGCGGAATTACTGGAGTAATATTTATGCGAGGCTAATATCTTTTCCCATCCACCGTGGTCAACTTGAATGAATTTTGAGGAAATAATTTATCATTTACCTTTCGTCTTCTTTCCCTTCTTCTCCTTCTGGCCTTGCTCCGGTTCGGCAGCCGGCGGCGGAGCGACTGCTTGGAATAGATATCAATTAATCAGTCAAGTTATTCAATCAAATCGAATCCCAAAATCCAACTCACTCGGTTCCATCGCCACGACCGCTTCCTCCACCAGTTTGTCGTAGAACGTCCGGTAGGCGAAGAAGATCCGCTTTTCGTCGTCCCGGTGGTCGTTGATTTCGTCGTCGAAAAACGCCACCAGCTCGTCGTAGAACTCGTTCAGCACCGTTTCGATGTAGCGCGGCTCGTACACTCCGAGGGTCCGGCACAGATGGTCCCGTATCCAACGGAACCGGAAGTCCATCCTCGTGAAGAGGTCAATAAATTGCTGTTGTTGAGGTAAAAATGGAACCGTTTTCAATCGACGCAAACAGACAATGAAAGACGCGGCGTCAGTAAACAAAACGAAAACAGAGGGGTCGTGCCATGGTAACGCAAACGTGGCTTGGCAACGGCTAACGGAAGGGCTGCTAAACCGAACAGCTGACTGGTGGTGGTCGAGCGCGTGAGCTCCAACTCGAAACCACGTGGTGGTTGTGGCAATCGTGTTTATATAAGTGAAGCTGCGCTCTTTATCAGCAGGAAAATATCGGGATTTAATGATTGAAGAGCGCGAGGAAGGAAACGGGAAAGACGTTGAACAGGTGTTGGAAATACCTCTTGCAGTGAATTTTCAATAATTAATGATATTAAAATTTATTGCGATCGGTTGATACCAAATATGTATATACAGTCGATGGTGGTTTGTGGGATCGTGACAGCAACTGTAAAAATAAAAATACTGGAAAATAATAACACAAACAACACCACCAATAAGTATGGGTGCTATAACGAGACTAATTATTTTTTCACGCCCCGGCGGAATTAATTTCTGCGGATTTATCGGTTGGTGGGGCGTTAAAGGTGATATCAATTGCGTGGTTGATTGCAGTTAAAGTGATATTCTACGGAAATTATAATCGGCTTTAATCTTAATGTGTGTGGATCGAAAAAGGATATATTCGGGAAAATGTATCGCCTTGTTTTCACAACGTGGTACCAACAATCAATACGAAACTAACGATTTTAAATTGGCTCACCACTTTAGTAGCCTATTGGCAAAAAAAAAACGCAGTAGGCTCTGCCCGCGAACAGTTGGTTTTGTTTTCGCTGGCGTTGATTTCATCTGTTTTCCGTTTTTTTAATTGTACCAAGTCAAAAATATTAGTTTTCGCGTGTGGATAAGCGTATATCACGTTTTAATAAGCTTTTAGTGATATTGTAATTAACGTGAAAACTCTGGGACAATTATTTGTTCCGAGTAGCTGTGTTGCTGTGGCGTCGCGTTGGTCGGTTTTTCTATTCGGTTGTTCTTGGTGCTTTGCCCCCCTTCCAAGGTGCTAGCGTTTTGCCTTCCGGAAGATGCACGCAAATGAGGTGTAAGGCAAAAATTCAGTGCAAATGAAAAAACTTTGCATGTGGTTCAATATGTTGTGTTCGGTTGTAAAAACAACGCGGAAGATTTTTTCGATTACCGCGAGTGAACAAACCGGTGCATTTCCGGAGGCAGAATTTGGTGAGATCCATCTGATTATAAATCAATCATAAATGCATATTTCCAAATATTACTAAATACGCGCCAGATTTCGAAACATCACATTTCGAAATCTGGAAGTGTGTTTGCAGTACCATTATTCATATGATAACGGTAGTGTTTACACGCGGGGCTTATTGTATGTGAAAGTAACCTCGGAATGGACGTGAATTACCAGGCATTCTGAAATGGGTTGCTGAATCTGCAGTAGAGCTATCGCTTTCTAACTCCCGGACTAAACTTGCTTTAACTTATTACATCGAGGATTGTTATAAGCAAATTTCTTCCATAATACCACTGCCGGCCAGTGGGGGTTAGATTGAATACACACACACACACACACACACACACACACACCACTTTAGTAGCCTATTGGCGTTGACGGCGACTCTGTAACTCTTTACTCCTATGAGAAAATCCATATGCAAACGTCAGACTGTGCGTGAAACATGGCGAACTTTGTACTATCCATTCACTCCACCGAAAATTCTCATAAGAAACTGTCTATATTTGCTGCAGCGTGCGTGACGAGTGCACGGATGGATTTGAGTTCACTCACTCGACAAAAAGTTACACAACAGTGGGGCCCTGTTTACTAAAAATGAACACATGAATAATACTCACGCAACATTTGAAACCGGCCTATCAACTTTCGTACACAAAACTTGTTAAGCCTTTTTCGCGCGAACCGAATACGCCCACGCAAACTAACAACACCATCGGGTAGGGGAAATTATCCCCTTCCCGATAGTGCTCTTGGTTTGCGTGGACGTACTTCGGTTCTCGTGGAAGGGACCTAGCAAATTATTTACAAAAGTTGTTAGGCCCTTTTCAAATGTTACGCGAGCATTATTCATGTGTTCATTTTTAGTAAACAGGGCCCCGCTGTTGTGTCAATTTTTTTTCAGTAGATGAACAAAAGTTCACCCGTGCACTCATCTATATGGCATTTGGTATAAGAATAATAAACGAGAATTAGGTGTCGCATGTTGCTTCTCACAGCACTCACCACCAGAGGGCGAACAGCCTTCAATAGTGGAAAATGGACTTCAAAATGTATGGCGAAATTCGATTTGAATTAAACATATCAATAGAGTTCTCTACCACCGTTAGTATTAGTGAGAAGTTTCACTAATACATGCATTTTACTGGTTGAAAATAAAAAAAACAATCCGCTGTCAAGTCGAACACTTTGACAGCTGATTTCATGGTTGAAAATAATAAACAAACCGATTTTACAGGGCTGCGCTAGCTAGGTTGTATAAGTGAGATGTTGCGTCGAGAAGTCAATAATGGTGCAATTTATTCGATATAAAGGCTGACTAAAAGTAAATTGGTACGCCCCTTGCGCGCCGCTAGCACGCCTCTAGTGTTGGGAATCGAAAATCTTTGACAGTGGTTTGTTTACATTTCTATAGAGCTTTTTGACGTTTAATCGGCGCACACTACTGCACCATTTAAATCGAACGAGTGCGAGCAAGAGGGAAACAGATTAGTGGGAAAACAAACCATGCATTCATCCATATGTGCTAGATAGAGAAATACGATTAAACGTCAAAAGGTCTATGTCTATTGACAAATCCAAGTTTCAATCGGCCACCGTGGCGCTGCAATCGCAGCGGTGATAAGTCCGAAATAATGTGTCAAACTGAATACATTTTTGAAATTTCAACAAAAAAACTATTATTTTGTATTTATTCTAGCGAGTTTCTGTGGGAGTCAAAACATGATCCGAGCAAAAAAGTAGTACTCGTAATAATGGTATATAATTCTGAATTTTATCGTGCTTTGTTTCGAAAATATCTTCCAAATAAACAAACATCATCCAGATCACCCGATTCGTCCACCGACTAAATCTATTGCCACTTAAAAATTTATTTCAGTCGGTGTATTAATCAGCAGATTAAATCGTTTTTCGTCTGGTGCTACACTGAGCAATCGGCCTATTTAATAGTTTTTCGTCGATGGATTTAGTCGGCCAACTTTGTCTGCTGTTTAATCGGCAGATAATTTCAAACCTTAACATGTTTTCTGTAATTTAACTGTCTTGAAGTAGCTTTTTATTTAGGAACAATGCATTACAAAATAATTTTATGCATTTTGTACAAGGTTCATCCATGCTGACAAGAAATTTGCATGAAATTACATTGAAATTAAACAATTTTGCAAACAATCAATGAAATTGTCAAGGGCTGTCACAGACTTATCACCGTCGGTTAGTGCTTATTCCTGCCACCAGGCGCGCAGGAGTTTAAGTTGGATTTCTCCATTAAACTGGTGCAAGTTTGATTAAAGTAGTCGATCGCATTCATAAATAACGTCAAATGGAACTCGAAAGAAGAAAAAAGTATTGTGCACAAACACCTGGAAAATCCGGAGTGGTTCGGTTCCAAGCTGGCTAAAGTGCTGACGATGCCGAAAACAACAGTTTGTCGAGTAATCAAAACCTACAAGGAAACCCTGAGTGTGGAAAGGAATCAGCGGACTTACTAAAAAACTGGAACCAGAGATCGTGCGTTAAAGCACACCCCGGTCTTTCGATCCGAGATGCGGCCAGAAGGTACAACGCCAACTTTCAAACGTTGCGGAACATCCTTGCCAGGGAAGTCGTACAAATCCAGTAAACAGCAGAATTCCGTGGCCAAAAAGCGTGCAAGGTGCTTTTTTTTTTTTTATAATTACTTTATTTGTACAGGCTCAATCGAATAAACTTTACAGAGCCGAGTTATCCTTTGCGTTATACATTATTACTGTCTTAAATTTAAAGTTAAAGGAACTGGACCGAGTACTCGCGGTTGTCTCGAGGTTAGTGGAGATTTACAATTTTTGGATGGGAAAAAGGGAAGAAGGAGGTTTGAAATGTGGTTTACGATACAACTATTTAATTAATCCTAAAGCATGAAATTATTTCTATTCATCTTGGAAACAAACATTGAAAAAAAAACCCCACACGTACAAAATACAAACTAAACACAAGGTTAATCAAACTTACAATCTAAGGTTAATATCCTTAAAGTAAACATATATGAGTTTCATAAACTCCAGATCGCGTCTAGCCAAAATATCCCGAACTGGAACATTAGGTTGTCTACCTCGAGCCCGAAGGGAATCATAAAAATGTGATCTGACTCCACGATACTCCGCACAAGACCAAAGGATGTGATCAGCGTCCTGGTAACCTTGTCCACATTCACAGAGATTGCTGTCTCCCAACCCCACACGGAACAAGTGAGCGTTTAGACAATAGTGATTGGACATGAGACGAGACATCACGCGTATGAAGTCTCGACTCAAGTCCAACCCTTTGAACCATGCAAACTTCGACACCTTAGGGATAATTGAATGTAGCCATCGTCCCAAGCTCCCTTCACTCCATTGATGTTGCCAGCTAACGAGCGACTGCTGACGATAAATAGAGAAAAATTCACTATAGGCGATCTGTCGATCATAAATGTCGCCTTCCATAGCGCCCACCTTTGCAAGTGAATCCGCCTTCTCATTGCCCAAAATTGAGCAATGCGAAGGGACCCACGCGAAGGTGATGATGAAAGAGCGCACGGATAAAGTACTAAGCAGTTCTCGTATTTTCAAGAGAAAATACGAGAAGTGCTTTACCGGCCTAATGGAACGGATAGCCTCGACAGAACTGAGACTATCCGTAAAAATAAAGTAGTGGTCTGGAAGAAGTGAAGCAATAGTTTCCAAAGTGTAGTGAATTGCTGCCAGTTCAGCCACATACACAGAACAAGGAGCTTCAAGTTTTCGA